CAGGCTCCAGACTATGAGAAATAAATGTGAATTGCTCATAACCAGCCTGGTTGTGGTATTTTGTTATGGTAGCCCAAATGGAACAAGACAATGGCCAACTGCTCAATATAGGTGGACACAAAATGCAAATTATTGAACTAGAAGAACTAAAAATTTCCAAAAATATAATAAATATACTATGTGAAGATACCCAAACTAATGAGAATGAAAAAGATGTCCCACATCTAGAGTGTGTAAAGTTAATTCATAGCAGATCAGACTTCGCACACCTCACATATAGGACATTATAACATCTAGGGGTTTGGTTATGGGGAAAATGTTATTGGATTGAACAACAGAAGGCAATACTTGGTGTAAACACTGAGAGTTTTGTTCCAAAATKAACAAATATGTATTATTAATTTCACAAAATAATGGCTCCTATCATCAGTTTCTCTCTTAGCTTTTTTTTATCTGTGTCAAAAATAAGTTTTTGATCCAGAAAATACTTGTGAAGTTCTCTCTTTTTTTTTTTTAAGATCTACAGGAGATATCCTAGACAACAAGGAATACAAACCCACAGCTTCTTCCAAGATTTCTGGTCAATCCCATGTATGTTTATGTTCCTCTGGTCTCCTCCAACCCAGTCATGATCTGGCTAGAAAGCTAAGACTGTCCTTGATTAGCTCAGAAAACCCAACACACCAAATATGGTGAATTTAGCACTTTGGTGAAGACTTTGGGAATCCTGCCTGGGACTCATATGATGCAGAGCATAGCTTTTCCCCATTTCCCTCTTACCCCTTCCCCTTACATCTTCACGTCTTCCCAGTATYTCCAGTCTATCCCATCTTCCTTTTTCTTACAGTATTTACTTTAGAGGTCTTGTATTTCTAAATTCTTTGTGACTTTGAAATGTGTGAGTCCTTTTAAAAGCTAAATAACCCTAAACTAAACTGCCACGTTTAATACCCAGGATTGTCTTTATGAAAGACATGGAAACCAACTCTTTGAAATGTAATCCTGAAAGGGGGCACACTATCCAGTGTCTATGGAAAGGTCAGCTCCTAACATAAGGAGCCCACCTTAACTCAGATAAGGATCTTCTTCAACTCAATTTGGAGTCTACCCAAATTCAGGTTCTTTCCACTCTACTTTCTTGAGAACTTGTTGATGTTCATCTTAAGAACATTTATGCAATCTTAGTATGGATTTGGCATTATAAATATCTATTGGTTTTTCTATATATCCAAATTCTTACAACAATACTCTAAGATAGGACCTGTCATCTGTATAGGACCAATAATAGAATCAAGGCAACAGTTATCCAATACCTGAGGCCAAAGCAGTATAACAGGGGATGGGCATGGTCAATGGTAGGAAGTGAGGTTGCAATCAGAACCCAGAAGAAAGAAGAGCATGGGGCAAGGGAAGGAGCAGAGAAAAACTACTGAGGTACAATGAGAGCTGTACTCAGTGAGACCCTGCCTCTTCCATAGAGGAAAGGGAGAACAGTTCTCCCCAAAGGGCAGAATCAAGGGAACCTTGAAGAAAGCTGGATGGGAAACCGGGGGTTGAGGAGGAGATGCTGGGGATGGATCACAGCCTGGTGGAGCAGACATGGGGCACTGTCACCTCACTCTTGTGACTGCTGTTTMTGCAGAGAGATTCCTGTGCTGTGCTGTGGCTGAGGCTGGCTTAGGCGAACGTGCCAGTCTCCAATTAGTGGAGAACTAATTGGGCTTTTCTGTAAGGGAAGGACACAGAGCCCTGCAAGGAGCCGCCTCCGACTGTCTCTAGCAGTTGGTGCCATCCAATCAGCTAACAGAGGTGGAAGGCCACTCACTAAGAGCATTAGCCAGAATGAACAAGTAGGTAAAAACCAATATGATGCACTCAACTAGCCTAGAGCACCATGTCCCCCCCACACACAGGCAGCCCTGGTGCCCAAAGAAACCTCCCTGACCTGGGTGCAGGGTGCTGAGAGGCCAGAACATTCCTCCTTACCAGAACTTAGACTTTATTGTTCAGATCCTCCATCTTCCAGAAAGTTTCCAGGTGAGGCTTGTCATAAAAATCCATCTCCTTTCTGGAAGGCTTGTTTCTACTCAAATATGGAAGTATATTTTGCTAACTATGAAAAAAAATACTCAAGACTCAAAGAGGATTCAGAGCTCCCTTGAGAGGTTCATGGAGTCACTCCTGAGGCTGTATTTGTTCCACTCTTGGGACCTCAGTCCACTTCTCTGATGTCCAGAAGCATCCCCAAATACCCTAGACCTAATGCCCCCATTTCTATCTACTCTTCTCTTAGAATTGAGTTTGACTTATGCTGGACATGGGCAGTACCCAGTGCCCACCCTCCTGAGGCAGGAAGGGCTGCTGAGAGCTGGGGCAGAAGCCCTGGAGTTTCTTCAAGGACAGGGAGTGTCTCTGAGGGGCTGCTGCAGAGATAGGTGGCCGAGTCCCCCAGCTGTKTGGGCTGGACCTTCAGGGTGGACAAGGATCCCTCAGGCCTCTCAGCTGAGAACCGATCCCTGAAAAAGTCGGCCTTATCTAAAGGCTGCTTGTTATAGAAAGAAACCAGGAACTCCAGTCCCTTTCCTGGAGTCTGTCGGTACCAATAGAGAGAAGCCTGACCAGCAACAGGGTCACAACTCAGAGCCACATCTGTCCTGCCTCTGTGACAGCATGCCTGGGGGCTTGTCTGACTCCAGGCTCCATATGTGCTGTGGAGGAGGCAGAGGGCAAGGAGAGAATGAAGGGCAAGTTTGGGATTGCCCTCAGGTAGAGGTAAAGGTAAGATGGGAATTGACCAAGCCCTCCCAGGACTCACCTGTGCCCAGGAGACCAAAGATCACCCAGCAGAGGAGGCTTCTGTCCAWGGCAGGGTTGGGCAGGTTGAGGCCTCAACCAGCTGGGGCTGTGGGGYTCAGCAGTCCCAGGAGGAAATTCAGGGACATCTCAGCCTGTGCTGCACCCACTGACTCAAGGACACCCCAGAAGAGCAGAGGCCTGAGTAGCATTGTGGAAACAGATGCCCCAAGGCAGCGCCTGARCATCCTGAAGTGTGTGGCTGGGTTAAATAGCATGGCTGAAGTCAAGCGTGGTGGCCCATGCCTGAAATCTGGAAGCCGAGGCAGGAGGATTGTGAGTTCAATGCCAGACTGAGCAAAATTGAGGTGTTAAGCAACTCAGTGAGACCCTGTCTCTAAAGTAAAAATACAATAAATTTGAAAAAAAAAAAAAAAAGAGACTCAGATGTGGCAATCCCTGAGTGTAGAAAGCAGAACATCTGGAAGGACAGGACCTTGCCCTCTGGTTCTGTGTAGGGTGTGTTTGAGGTGGCCCAGTCTGAATTTTGTCTGAATTTTTATTTTATTATTTTGTTTATTTACAGGACCCCTGTGAACTCTTAAGTCAAATGAACCACTTTAGGGCAGGCTTCTTTTATTTCATGTTAGAAAATGCACTGGACACTAGACCTACAAGTGTTCATCTTTGCATAAGTTGATAGAGCCTCAGGAGTGCAAGAAACCACCCTGCTACAGATGCTGTCGAATATAGAGCTGCCAAATTGGTGGAATTGACTGGGGCTTTTAGGGTTTGCAGTTTCTGTCTGGGGTCCCACAGGAAATATTCAAAGCCTTTAGTTGCCCCCACAGCTTCTAGTCTATCCCCACAGGTTTGGGTAAGTGACAGGGTGACTCTGCAGGGCTGTGTCTCAGCTACTGGCACTCATGGCTGAGTCCTGGGCTCCAGGGAGGCCAGGGGAATGAATAAGCAGGAGCTGTCAGGCACTCAGATGACAAGTGMCTGGGCACAGTCTAGTTTCAACCAGTTCCTTATAATCATGGGGAAATCTGAGCTCAGGGGTTTCTTATCATCTGCTTGTAAAAATTCTTGGCATTATATCCCAGAGGTGTTCACATACCAGGGACTTCTATGCATTGTTCCCATGTTGAGGTGTCTTGGTATCTGGCTAATGCTGGTATCCAAGGGGGAAAAGACAAAATTCAGCCTAAGCCCAGGAGGAAGGTTATTACTATAGCCCTAAGGAATAAGCTTGAGTCCATAGACAGACCCTTGGAACCCAGAACTCAGAATTTAGGGTACAGAGAATTGAAAAGGAGCCCAAGAATATGTATAAGGAAATCTCATTTTTTTGGTGCCATTCACATATTGTATATTCAGAGAGCAAGATCCCAGAAGGCTAGGCAAAGAACAAGAGAATATTTGAGAAGTTTCCTAGATGTTCAGTCCCCCTAAAATCTATCAGCCATCTATTCCACACTGTTGCCCCTGTTCTTCACTCAAATGCAAATCTGATCATGCCTTTTCCTGTCAGATGGGACCAGTGGTAACTKCTGCCAAGAAATTTGTGCCCCAGTCCTTCCCAAATTCCCAGGATACTCCATCCTCTGGCTGCTTAATGGGAATAGGGTGCTATGACAAATTTTCTATAAGGGCTGCAGTGTCCAAAGCCCATGCAGCTTGGATTCACTTCTCTGCTACCCTTAATTTCTAGTTCACCTATTGCTAAGGTTGGACATGTTCCTCCATACCCCACAAAATATAAATATATATTTATATATATTTAAACATATAAAACATATATATTCATCTATTTATTATGTATCATATTACATATTTTATATTTATATATACATATTTACATATATATGGGTTTTTTTGGGGGGGTTGGTTTTTTTTTTTTTTTTTTTTGCTAAATGAGGAACTCATTGAATTTCTGTTGATCATGGGAAGATTCACTCTGGCCTCTCTTCAGTCTGGTGCTCATCAAACATTTTTAAAATTTGTGTCTCCATGGACAACATAATGGACAAGGTGTGGCCATATGCACAGCAGAAGAGGACAAGGAACAGCTGCTCCATGTCAAGATTTTCAGTCCCCCATCTTTGGTGGATGTGGATGGGCAGGTGATGCTAGTGGAGTCCCTGCTCAGCTGACCAGAGGAATTCTGCAGGGCTCTGTGTGTGGAGAACTCAGCTGCCCACCATTCACCCTGGAGGCTGCTGCACACTGACCCTCCACGGGACCCACAGAATGGAGAGYAGAGCCTCAGGCACAGGGAACTCATTGTCACCACAGCTTCCTGGCTGCCTGGCAGGTTTGTGCACAGGCAGCTGGTGACTCTGCAGGGCTGTGCCTTGGCTGCTGGCACAGAGATACAAGGCAGAATCCTCTGGCTCCAGGGACTTGACATGAAGGTTTAAATGATCTTTGTCTGGAGATTCAGGTGAGAAACGACTTGGAACCGTTTCATTTGCAGTCATTTCCTTATTATAGTAGCTAAACATCATCTTCAGTGATTGCTTGGAGTCCTGCTTATACCAGTACATTGTATCATGGCCCAGATTTTGCTCACATTTAAAGGATTGCTTTTTTCCAGCCTGGGCGAGGAGATATTTTGGAGTCTGGGAAACACCTGAGAGCAAGGGGCCTGTGAAAGAAAGAAGCAGAATTCAGGAGAATCCCAGGAGAAAGCTGCAGCTCCAGGCATGGWGAAGACTCAAGCAGAGTTTCTAACAGGGCCAGGACACCTGGACTGGGAGACTCACCTGCTCCCAGGAGGCAGAGGGCCACACAGCAGAGCAGCCTGGAGCCCATGGTAGGAGGCAGTYCAGGCCAGGCCAAGACTCAGGATTCGAGCCTGCAGAGTCAGAGCAGCTATAGCCACCACAGGTCTGCCACAAGCTCTGCTGGTGACATCACAGGTGTGCTACTCTTCCTTTTCTCAGGGTTTGTGATCACAGTTTCCTCCTTATTCATGTCCTGATCCAGCTCCGTTCGTTCGCCAGTGTGTTTGGGATTTCTAGAGTAGGTGTGAGTGGGGTGGGTGTGTAGCCTCCAGTAGACTCTGCCCCCACCCCTTCCCTGGCCCAGAAGTTGCCCCTGTTCCTTTCCTCTCCTCTTTAGGCCTCCTCTCAGAGCAAGTCTGGTTTTCCTTCCTGGGTCTGTTCTTCCTTTTCACACTAATGCTGCATGATCCCACTTACCCCTTGGCTCCCTTGAATGTCTTTTATGCCCAGTGCCCCCCTGACCACTTCAGGCTTGGGCAGGAGATTGACTTCATTTCTCACCAAACACCAGCTGCAGCCATTTAAGATGCAGGAATGYGCTGACTGTCTGGTGAACACTCTTAGGTGACCTTGATGGGACTGAGCTGCAGGCCTGGTCCCTGCGATGTTCTCATGAGAGGCAGGGCTTTCCAATGCTCTGGTCTGAGCAGGCTTCCAGAGATCAAGAAGTCACTATGTGTTGGGAACAATGTTATGGGGACACACACAGCATGGAAATTGGGGAAATCTACAAGGAACAATTTCTCTATCCTTTAATTGTCTACAGATCCCCCTACTTTTGGGTACATAGTATCCACTCAGAGCCTGCCCAGCACTGGTCAACCTCAGTGTTATTTACACATTGCATTGGATGATCCTTAGTTGAGAGGCAGTCCTGTGCCCTGCAGTGTGTTCAGTAGCATCACTGGCCTATGCCCACCTGATGCCAATAGTATCCCCTACCATACTCATGAAACCCAAAATGTCTTCCACAATATCAAGTCTCCACGATTAAGAGCCACCTTTCCTACCACTTCCAATAGCTCCCACCTTTCTCATCCTACGTGGCTCTACCCCCAGCCTCAAGGGCTTGGTATGGCCACAGCACTTTCTAGTGATGGATAAGTCAAGTGTTAACATTTGGTAACCTCTGTCAGTGGACCAGGGTCGGCAACCACCATCAAAAAGGCATCTGATTCATTCTCTCTCTCTCTCCCTCTCTCTCTCTCTCTCTCTCTCTCTCTCTCTCTCACACACACACACACACACACACGTGCTTACTTACATTCTTGTAAAACTACCAAATACAGGTGAAAGCCGTGGGTGGTTCAGTTGTGTTTGCTGGGCACAGACACAGCACCAGGGATTTTCCCCTTTTGGAAATTTTCAGCATATTTCATTTGTCCAAGTCATGGGGAGGACAATGTTTTCACTCTTGGGATGTTTTATACTATAACAGGAGCAAAAAGAAATGCACAGATTACCTGTGGGATTAGGATATAAAGTACATGTTACATGAAAGTCAGAAATATAACCTAGTATTTACATTTAAATATCTTATACTGTATTCCTTCTTCTCATCTATAAAGCAGTGGTCCCAAATCAATAATTTTCAACACTCTGTCCAGCTCCAAAACTATGGACATTACCAGGTGCACACATAGGTACAGGCTTATTCATCCAGCGTCCCCAGCACCTACCATCATGCACCACACAGAGTATACGTGAAGACTTTCCAAAAAGGAGAGATGGGAAGCAGGAAGGACTGAGAGAGGAAGAAAGGAAGGAAAGGAGTGAGAGAAGAGATCACTTTGTTGGCAAGAGTCAATGTAAGATGGAGCTTATAGCCATATAAAGAAGCAACCATTCTTAAAGTGTAGGATTCAAATAATTACTTATCTTGCTATTTTATGCAAATGTTCATGACCAAATTGGGTGGACAGTCTCTAGAAAAGAAGCTAAAATAAAACTGTTATTAAGAAACTCATTTGCACATGAGGTAATGCCAGTTCTGATTATTGTTTTAAATAATTTAAAAGTATATAATACTAGAAATTACTGTCTAATTAAAAATTAGATAACATAATTTTTATTATCTATCAAGAACAGCCCATAGGTAGAGAGAGAAAAGGGGAGGGGAGGGGAGGGGAGGGGAGGGGGGATAGTAGACAATAGGACAGACAGCAGAATACATCAGACACTAGAAAGGCAATATGTCAATCAATGGAAGGGTAACTGATGTGATACAGCAATCTGTATACGGGGTAAAATTGGGAGTTCATAACTCACTTGAATCAAACTGTGAAATATGATGTATTAAGAACTATGTAATGTTTTGAACGACCAACAATAAAAAAAAAAGAACAGCCCATAGTATGCAAGAAAGCAAATAAATGATCCCTTGCATCTTCTTTTCTGACTGGGATGGCTAAACTGGGGAAGGGGATTCCTGTACAGAACAGGAGTCAGGACCGATGCAGGGACCCCTGACAAGAGCCATACCTCAACTGACAAAGCAAACAAGGAAAGAAACATGAAATAATTTAGCATGGACAAAGTTTAGTCTTCCAAAAGGTGGAGAGCTTAGGACCAGTGGGAATGAGGTAGAAAGCAAGAGAACTAGAACTAATGAGAAGTGGACTGAATGTCACACAGAGGCACATTGTCATGAATCTGTCTTTCCAACATCTAAAAACCCTTTTTATAATTTGGTCATTTGCCAAAGTTTGGGAACAGCATGTTGCTGTTATGTTTATATGCAAAATCTTCCATTCTAGAAACAACACCTGTTTGAACAGTTCTCTTTGAGATCACATGTGACCATCCATCAGATGTAGAAGAGTAAAGACTTTTCTAGTTTAATTCCCTGATAGTCTGGAAGGAGGGGGGATGTTATATGTATCCTTAGGCCTGATGAACAGCTTTCCTCCAGTTATTATTATCTATGCAGGMTCCCTAAGAACCTTAGACTGTCAAGATCATTGCTAGTGCCAGGAGCTGACATCACCACAAGGTTTGTTTGGCCATCACTGAGCTGAGCTGAGACAGACCCCAGATCCTCTCTTACCTCCCTTAGAGTCAGGTCCTCCACCTGCACCTGCCGAAGTCTCCCAACCTCCTCAGCTCAAACTCTCCTCTCAGGAAGCTCATATGCAACAATCTGATATTCCAGGCTTTTGACAGGGACAGCAACACCTGCACATCACTGCAAAGGACGTAGCCTGGTGTGTAACAGCMCACACCACAGCACTGACCTCAGCTCCTGCAGACCACATTTCCCCAGATGTAGAAACCCAAACTTCCTCTTAACTCTCTCTCATCCAGAGCCTTCTCTTAGTCCTTGCTCAGAGTTTCCTGGATCTCAACAGAGTCACAGCTCCTCCTTGTGGTCCCAGGTTCAAAAGCACTAGGACTCCATCTTTCTGCAGTTGAACAGGGCAGCATGGTGGCAGATGTCTTAGAAACAGGGACCTCCTGGGAGGGAAAAGGATGATAATCAGTCCCTGCCCTTCTCACACCAGACCGATTTCTCAACAGGCCCCCTTCTGAAGAACCTGGTGCCCTTGTGTGAGTAAGGCAGGCATGAGGTGCCCAAGATCAGGGTTCCAAACATCAGGAAGGAAAAGGCTCCTGAAGGACTGTTGGAATAGTGATTTCATTGTCTTTGAGGACTCTCAGCCTTAGAAGAAACTTCCAGAGGAGGAGAGAAATAGCCTTCACCCCAGGAAAACACAATTCTAATCAGGACTTTCTCTGTCCCTTAGCCTGTGAGGTGGACAAGCATGCAGTGAGATCCATACCAAAAGATAAGGTACAGGTGCCAGAGGCACTGCCAAGGGACTTCATCACCTGGCATTAATAAACCCAGGGATGGGGACTAAGTTCTAGGACTATTTAATAGTTTCTCAGTATTAATGATTTTGGCAGAAAATTTTAGACTCACTGATTTGGCAAAGAATGACATTTTTTAGTTGTTCTCAACCAAGGATTGTGTACACYATACCTTTTTTGGGAGAAATTTGTATATGTATTGATGTGTTCAAATTACCAAAATTATTGAACAGTTCCCAAATTTGATGCAATGTTTAGGAACCCCTCATTCAAAACAGAACTCTTCCATCTCATATATCAAAAGAGCCTCTGTTGACAAATACTGTCAGAGTAAGAGTTCAAAAAGACAGAAATTAATTAGTTCTACATTTTGGAGAAGTTCTCCTTCCTCATGTAGAGTGACATGGAAGATATCATCTCTGATGTCAACAGACCAAAATTTTGAAGGAAAGAGTATAAGATATGAGATTTGACATGAGGTTAATAGAAAAAGTGGCAGGTGCCCTTACTCCTCCCTTTACTCGGGCTATTTTCACCCAAAAGATAAGCATATAAAAGTGTACTCCAACTTTCAAAAATACAAAAACTAGCTCTCAGGGGTACTAGGTTGGATTGTTGCATAATAGTATTCACACCAGAAACAACTAGAGAAGTTTATCAAAACACAAAAGGTTATTAGAAGCCATTTAGAGCTACAGAGGAAATAAGAACTCAAAAGACCAACATTTGGAGGAGAAAAGATGAATCTAACAAATCACTTTAACCTTAAATCAGATGAAAATTTTCCAATGTAATATCATCAGCCAAGTAGCTGAAGAAAGAGGAAACTGAGAAACTGAGATGCTTAGAGGAGTGTCCATCACGTTTCTGCTTTTATGTTCATTGATTGCTGAACAAGAGGACATTTGGTAAAGACCCCAGGCCTTAGGAGTAGGGGTAGGAGCAGGCATTTACTGAAAATGAGCACTGAAGAATTTTCAGGGGGCTGAAAATATTTTCGAACTGGGTCATGGTGAGAGTTATACAACTCCAAGAACTACTGAAACTCACTGAATTGTATACTTGAAGTAAGTAAATGTTATGTTTTGTCAATTTTACTCAATAAAGCTATTAAAAATTCTCCAGATATTAAGTTTGAAAATTCAACRTCTATACCATCACAAAGGCTGAAGCCCCACTTCAGTCCATCCAGATTATCAAATAAATTAATGTGACTTA